CGAGCAAATGTTAGAAGCTCATTGGCATCCAAACAATTGCGACCACGCTGTTTGACTCATCGAATACTAATTGTTTTTTTTTTTTTTTTTTTTTTTTTTTGACAAAAAGGGTCTTTGAATTTTTGATGAAGAAATGGCACCTCATCGACAGGTTGCGCACGTGTATATACATAATTCTTTGAGATGCCGCATTGCGTTCCTAATCTCAAAACGGAATTCCGTTCGACGAGCCGTGGCATTTTCTTATGTATTCGAATTTACACTTATATAAGAAAACTTTCGTTGAAATGAATAGAAACGCCATCTACCAAATTGTCAGTTATTGTTCTCGCATCATTTACATTAGCCGCGGAATGGCTCCCGATCTATTTTCGAAACCGCGTTACTTATTCAAGAATTCAAGCTACCAACATCTGATATACTGTTGTAGCAATTTTCTCTACTCTAACATGTCTGTGTAGAGCTCCACGTTAACGACACAAGACAGAAGTGTAACTTTTATCGAACGAGAGAATTTTTTATGTGATGATGTAGTAAGTTGTTGCAAAAATAAACTTTATCTAAGGATAAATAAAAGTATATAAAAATATATAGCGCATGCTTTTGCTCAATTATACACGTTTTCAATTGCTGAAGTATTATATCGACGAAAGATAACTGGCTTCAGCTCGTTCTAACCGTATTGCGATAATATCACACGCATACGCCTGTGAGAGCCTTTTTTTCTACACACACATATTCTTGCTGTTATATATATATATAATATACACATGAGAAATTAATGTGTACGAGTTATATATATATATATATATATATATATATATATATACATACATATAAGCGATGTGTTTAAAATTCCATTCTTTTTATATCTTATACCTATTTCTAAGTTTTCAGTTTTATTACTACGTTTTATACTACGATCTATCTAAACTATATATTGCGTGTCTTGAAAATGTCAGGTTTAAGAAATGGATCACCTTAACTCGTCCAGTTGTCTGGAAATTTTTGTTTCGAGACAATATATAACCAGAGTTATAAAGTGGTGCAATGTGCTGTTGTGTTGCTTCAGCTACATATATCTGGTAAATTGTGAGATGAGAGCAAACGACCCACGCGCTTATAGTCCTGGGGGAGAGAGAGAAAGAGGGTGGGCACAAACGTTGGTCGGTTGTGCGAGCAACTTCGTCGAAAGAATCCGACTCACTACTTTCAGCAGCGTAATTATAGTCGACGCGATTCATACAGCGGTTTCGACGTCCCGGGGGAAAGTTTGCCCCAGTGCAGTGAGGCGAGGATAAGAACCAGCCCTTGAACAAACGAGACGACTTCGCAACCTCCGAGAGGTCAAAGAGTACATCTACTCTCCCGACGAGAGTTGTACAAAGACGTAAAAAAAGAAGAAAAACAACTGGTGGGGTCCTGCGTCGATCTCTTTACCAGTTTCTCCGAGATAGGTCGAGGATCTCCACATGAATTCCTCGTCAACAATCAGGAAGTTGTCGGAAGTCTGTCAAACGTGAAACACAAGACGAACGTGAGCGCAGCGGATAATCTCGCACTGAAAATATTTAATTTCTTAATTCGTTCTCTCTTGAGAATAATAGAAAAATTACTTTCACACACACACACACACACACACAGGGATTAGTGGTGTAAAGAATTTAATAAATGAAGAATTGATTCTCTCGAGATTAATCATCGTTAATACACAGGCGAGAGATCTCAAATAAACATTTTGCAAACCGAAAATTATTCTTACGCATTAATCCCTCTTGCTCGAATTTGTATTTTAGTCTCGCGTGGCTAATTTTCGAAATCCCACTGTAGTTCACGCGTAATGCTGGCTTCGAATTAGAAGCGAGTCAGGACTTTGTATCGCGCTGGTGCGAAAGCTCTCTTGATTAAATATGGGACGATGCGCCAGTCTCACGGGAGAAAGCTGCGAATCTTCTCAGATACACGGGTGAGAGAAAGAGAAGGGAATAGAAAAGGGAGGGTTGATGGTAGGTCGGCGGTGCGAAACCTCTGGTTTATTTCGAATCGATCGCGGGACGTGCTCGAGAGCGTTCGGACTAATTCGGCTCGCATCGGCGATTCAAACCTGTTCGATTTACAAAGTATCCACATTGTCCATTTAACGCGAATAAATACCAATTGCGATATATACAGCTTCTTCCTCTCCCTTCTTTCACTCTCCCTTTCTGCGAAATCGACCCTTCAGAGTAAATGCGGCCAGAGAGATGCGCGAGAGTTGCGTTGCGTCTCTCCCTCCCTCCCTCTCTCTCTCTCTCGAAATTTGGATCCCTTGATCAATACTGTGTCTTCTCTTTTGTGTCTCAGAACCGCCAATAAGTATCTTTAAAGTATATCTGAATTTTTGGTAATATATTTCAAAAATTTCAAACTTCGTACGTCTCTACACACAAATCTCTTATTTTCATTTTTTTTTTCAAGTAAATTCCTTTGAGAAGTGCACCTTTAAGATGAAAAAAAAAAAAAGTTTTTCCTAACAGTCTTTCTTTTGCCAACGAAAATTCCAACCTCATCTCAATTATACACGGAAAACGCTCAGGGAAAACCAATGCTCGTACCGCTGATAAAAAAAAAAAAAATAAAATAAAAGAGACAGAGAGCGTCTTTAACAATTTCTTTTGTTGAAATCCGTGGAATAAGATTCATTATGCGGGATAAAAGACGGACTGTTCGAACTGGTCTATCGCGGAATCAAAATAGGCGCTCACGACGACCGCCGCGCGTCCCATTCTTGCAAAACTCAAAAAGGATCGGCTCAGAAAAGACCGTGCCGCGAAGAATATCCTCAAGAGAATCCAATCAGAACACAGAAAGGGAGAGGGAAAATAGCGCACACATATAACTCCCTCTCTTAAAAATCTCGGGGTGTCTTCGCGCCCGACGAATTCCGAAGAAGATTTACAACGGTTTCACAAAGAATTCCTCTTTATTGAGTACAAACTGTCAGCGTAGGCGAAAAGAATTTTATTACCTTCAATCTTATTGTACAGCTGACCTCTCTCTCTCTCTCTCTCTCTCTCTCTCTATCTATCTATTTATCTACTTATCTATCTATCTTTTTCTCTATCATCGACTCCATCGTAATATTTTTTGCCGTTAAATGTAACGTACCGTATGTATGACTACGTTCCTCACAATCTGTTATGTGTAATTTAAATCTCAGACATGTAGCACCAGTGCGGAAAATTTATATCTCGTTGCAAGGCAAAAGAGATTAACGCAAAGTCGATAACGCGCGTACAGAATTGATGCGAATATACGCGGCGAGGTAAAAAAAAAAACAAAAAAAAAAAAAAAAAATTATACGCTTTGGTACGTTAGAGCTAATCCATATATCTCCGCTGAATTTCCAGTCGAGCGGTCGTGAAATAATTCTTAACATTTATCGCGCAACAATTTCGTCCAATTTTCTGATCGATTCGCTCCGCTTCTGGATAATGTTTCCCACCTCGATGGAGAGCCGCTACGCGAGTCAGCATTCCGAATCCATATTTCTAGATTGTATTCCGTGACAACGACGTTCTTCCCATTGCCGATGAAATTGCCGGGGAAGTCACCGGGCCGATCGATAACCAGACCGAAAAAGATTTCGGTCTACGAGTTCACCGAAGCCAAAATCGAAGTCGTAGAAGTAAAGAGATCGCCGGGTCGATCACTGTCGAGACCCCTTGTACGGTTATATTCGACGAAGATAATACCGCAACGCGGTTCCTTCCGTATATATATATATAAAGGATGTTATCCTCCATAACATTAAAGAAACAACAGAACAAAAGAAATAAGTAGCAGACGTTAGAATATTCCGTAGACATGAAATTTTGACGACATCTATATCTACGAAAAAAAAAACAGAAATAAAAAAAGGAAAAACGACATACATGGAATATTTTCAGGAATATTTATACAAGAGAGAGAAAGAAAAGAGGGATCGAACTATGTAAGACACGTCTACCGTATCATATTTATGTAAGACTTCGACAGTTTGCTCTTGACACCGGACGAGGAATATCGAGAAGATGTGGAATCAGAAATACACCGGAGCGAGTATATATATACCGCATTGTACAAGAATCATCCTTATCGCAAAGTAAATACAATAAATTCATCCGTCCAATTGGACAACGCGAGTGTGTTGTTCCCGCGAATTGTTCAACGCGTTGATAAGCGCGGCTTATATTTTATTTTTTTACGAACAATGCTCTTCTTTCGGCGAATGGTTTTTTTTTTTTTTGTTTTTTTTGTTTTTTTTTCTCTATACGACATTGCCCGCCCATTGCGAAGTATTCATCGCGTGCAACATCCATAATCCAAAATCGATACATTGCTGTTTCAATGCGAGTTTAACGCCCCGTGACCGTGGTGTTACGACGACAGCGGACGATGTAATCCCCGCGATTTCGAGTTTAGAGGGCTCGTCAATTTGGTACGATCTCGCTCGTATAAAACCGAAACAACGCGCCGCGCGAAACGATCTGTCTCAGATTTTTCTGTCTTTTCTGATCACGTAAGTGATCCTGTTGCGCTTGACTAGGATGAAAGAGAAGAATGGAAAAAAAGAGAGAAAAAAGGAAGAGAAAAAAGGAAGCAAAAGAGCTAAAGAGAAAAAAGAGCTATTGTGCTATTCTACCGATGCGAGGAACGAACGAATTCATCCGAGAAAGAAAGATAGAAAGAGAGAGAGAGAGAGAGAGAGAGAGAATGAGAATGAGAAAGAAAGAATGTATGTGAAATAGAAAAAGGCGAGAGATTTCGCGCTCCTTTCTCGCGACGGTGATGCTGCTGGTCCGACAGGTAGTCCCGGTGGTCCATCGTGTCCTTCTATGCGCTGGTGGCGCGACCCCGAGTGTATCGAATCGAGGATCTTCGCAGATTTTCGGAGAGCTTCGTTCACCCACGAACGGGCTCCCGCGGGTTCTCCCGGGCGCTCGGCATCGTCGCTCAGTATACTGCGTGGCAGCCTGGACCGCGGTGTCGGTTCACAGCATCCACAACAACAACGGCGCAACGTCAAAAACGCGTCGACGCGGTGTGCTTTTTACGTGCCTTCGCGAGAACACGCTCTCGTTCGCTCGCGCGCTCGTTTTTCCGCGAAAAAATCCGCGTGATCTCTCTCGCCTCGGTTTCGAGACACGCATATGCATATCAATTTCTGCGTGAAAACGCAACGCGCACATGGTCCTTCTGTATCCTGACCAGCATCCCCGATCGCGTACGACGGTGCGAGGTACTTCCCTCCGCTCGAGGTTGCCCGATCAGTAGCGCGAACGCGGTACGAGCGCGGCACGCAACAGCGCAGTCTGACAGAGCGCGGTGGTGGTAAAGGGAGAGGGGAATGTCATGATCGGAGAGGTCTACGCGTACCACATCGTTATTAGCGACTGACTGGACCCCGAAGATCGAACATGAGGTTTCGGAACGGTAGCGGTACCAGAGAGGAGACGACGTCACGGCTGACACGTGTGACATTCGCGTTGAAATCGTAGCAAAGTAAGTGTGGTCACGGGTGTACGCGCCATCGATCGACGGGATCGTTCGTCGATCGAATAAGAAATCAAATCGCGTGATTGAATCATCACGCTTTTTGAAGTGCAATCGAGAGCCCGCGGGACGTTTTGTTCACGCTGCGCGTGAAAAGAGCCGTTTCCATTTCTCCGTGGATGAAGGTCCGCGGGAGATTTGCGGCGAACCGAGAGGCAGTAGGTGAGCGCGCGAGCGCGCGCGCGCGCGTTTTGTTGCACGCGTGCAATTGTGCACGCACGGCTATGATGCATAGCGGAGAGACCGACCCACTACGGTACAACACGGTTCTTTGCTCTCGATAGCTAAAAGCGGGCGGTACACGGGTGTTTGTGGCGAAAAGGGGACTGGAGACTGCGGAAAAGGGTGAGCGTGTGCCAGGAAGAAAGAGAGTCGACGTAAGAGGGAAAGAGAGAGATAGAGAGAGAGAGAGAGAGAGCGAGAGAGAGAAATTGTTGGTGCGAGAAGTGTGGTAGGGGAGAGAGTGAGGGAGAGAAACGAGACAGGAGAGAACAGAGAGGAGCTTGGAGAGAGTAATGATCGTGACGACGGTCGTGCGGACAAATGAACACCTCGGCACAGCGTTTGGGATATTCCAAGTAAGTAGCAATGCGCAACGTCGTGCTGCATTATGCTGCGGAAACGTATCCGCTCTCGCTTATTACACGTCCGTCTAGTTTTTTAAGTGCGCAATTATTTTGAAGAAGGAAAATTGGTTTCAATATCGAGGCGAACGAGAGAGAGTTTGCTCTGCCGTAGTGTAAGAGATACGGTCTTGTGTGCCCGGAGGATTCCAAAGCGCACGACCTCAACGAGGTCTTTTCAACGGAATCAAAAATAGAGAAATCGATACGTCTCGTGTATCCAGCATACCAAATAGTAGCCAGGCAAAAAAGTTGGCATGAGAGAAAAAACTCTCGAGAGGGAGAAAATTTCGGAAGAGATTTTTTTTTTAACTAAAGCGTCGCACTGTGTGCGCCCGCGCGCGCGCGAGCGCGGCTACTTGATGCGCGCGGTTTCTTTTTTTTTTTTTTTAATTCTTTTCCCACTGTCGCTTCACGCTCGGGAAATTTTATTGCCGGTCATTTTTCAAGCCGGAATCGTCGATGGGAATCATGGGGGGACACACTAGTAATGGATGCGCGAATGCTGCCTAAGCCAGCACATTTGGCGCGAAATCTAACACGCGGTTGGCATCAAACCGACCGATCGTGCGGCAACGCGTACATATCGCGGATCGTGCTTAACGATAGCTTTCACGCCAAAACTCCTGGAAAAAACTCGACATGTTGTGATAAAAAAAAACAAAAAAAAAAAGAAAAAACAAAAAAAGTCGAAAAGCAAGTTTGCAGCGTTTGCACACCGCCGGCGTATTAATCGTTTTGTTGAGAAGTGATTCTAATTTAATTTATTCAATAAGTTGGAATCGGGACGCGTTTAATTGCGCTCGGCGCGCACCAATTGTTCCGTATAATTCGAAAAAGTTTTTCTATTTCACTTCGAGATTGCGTTTGGCGGAGACGGCGCGCTGTCGATACGGTTGAAGGGCACGACCTCGGGAGATTTCCTCGACCCATTTTTCACAATTTTCCGAAAAAACGACCGCTTTCTACGGCGCTTTAAAAAATCTACCAACAAATTTCCAGTTTTGTCTCTGTTAATAATCCTTTTGTTTTTTTTTCCTCTCCCCCTAACTTGTTTTCGTTGTTTTTGTTTGTTTTAAATAACTTTTCAATAATAGAACATTTTGCAGCGCTTGCTTGATTTGTTTCGTTCGTTCACATTTTTTTTTTACCGATAAAACCTGAATGGATTTCCGGGGAACGCATTCTTCAATTCCTTCTCCGTTAATTAAAGCCAGATGGAACCGCCTCGGAAAGGTCGGAGGTCCGATCAATCTTCACAGATCATGCCGCCGCCGCGCAATACCGCGAGATGGATTACATCCGATTCAAAATTTGTAGTACTTCTTCGAGGCGTGGGGGAAGGGGGGAGGCCCTCCTCCTCGTATACACCACGTCGATGTATAACATTAGCATTTATATGGGCGCGCAACGACAAGATTCCGCGCGCGCGAGTGATTCGGAAGCAAAATCCGAACGTGAAGCGAGATATCCGACGGAAGAGAGAGGTGTCGCGAGCAGAAGGCGTCACGAGAGCAAAAAGACGATGCACGTTGAGGGCAAAATTCCGCATAGCTCGGGAAGACGAGTCAACATATTTTTCAGCGTCATCCCGGAATCAACGTTGTCGTCGGGAACGACACGTATCAGAGCATAAAGGCGGTGAAAACGACGCCGAGACATTTTTCACGGCGCGTATCTCGCGCGCGCTCAGAAGGTCGCGATGAAAATTTGATTTTTGTCCGACGTATCTCATCGACTTATCGTCAGTGATATCGGAGTAACAAATTTCTCTCCCACGCAAATTTGCCGCAACAAATTTTCTACATGAGACTCGACCGCGTTAGAGAGAAGAAAAGAAAAAGACAGAAAGAGAGAGAGAGAGAGAGATAGAGGAAGGGATGAAGTGGGACTTGTAATTTTACCAAAGATACATCGTCCGCGTCCGAGAGAGACGATATATACAGCGTTTATATTAGCATTTATATAAGGGCGGAGTAACTATGCTTTTCCACGCGGGCCTCTTTCTCTCTCTTTCTCTGTCTCTCTCTCTCTCTACGTGCTCGCAGCAAAAAAGGACGAGAAGCAAAATCCACGTCGCGAGATAAGTGTTCCTTGCCTCTTCCGCTCTGCCTCTCGCGGCCGAGGGATCCCTGTGCTGAAGCGTTTTTGCAAACACGAGGAAAATTAAACAATGCCGAGTTACATATTCCTAATGCTCGACGGGGGATGCATAAAATTAGATATATATTTTACGTAAGACGCGCCAAGTTACAAATGTTAAATTAGGAATATTTATTCAGGCAACGGCGTGGCAATATAACTTCCCGCGGCATTCTACCGACTCGCACGGAGGCGCGACTGAAAACAAAGGTGAGTCGTGAATAGAGCGGTTGAGCGAGAGAGAGAGAGAGAGAGAGAGGGGGTGCAAGTGGGCGAGCGTGATAAAGGCTCGGGAAGAACAAGGCGAGCTGCAAAGACGGAGGGAAGGAATCGGAAACGTCCGGCATTAGAAATGGCAGAGCGCGCAATTAAGTGGCCATCGGAGCGTGAACCGCGAATAAAGTTTATCTCGAAAAGAAATCAAACGGCTAATTTATCAATTTTCCAAAATTACGTTTCTAAAATTCACACTCGCGCACCGGATTACTCTCTACTCTCCCCTCTCCGTATTTATCCTCGGCGAAACCGCGGGAGAGTGTACGGGCGGGCTGACTATAACGGTGCGGCACGAACAAACGAGCGAGCGGGGCGTACGTGCGTGTGTGTGTGTTTTCGGCGTAGGGGGGTAAGTTGCGCGCCCCGTACCGGGTGCATTATATTAACGTGCGCACAAACGTGGTTAGACTGCAGCTCTGTTTTCGCCCATCCTCGCGCGTAGGTGGAGGTGAGGTGACGAGATCCAGACACACAAGTTGCAGAAAGGGGTTTGCCGCGCCGCGAGGCGTACGGTGTTACTTTATTGCTCGCGTCAAAGGCAATCAGACCGCCCGTTCTCTTGTATCCTCCTCCTCCTCCTCCTTCTCCTCCTCCTCCTCCTCCTCCTCCTCGTATGCAACCGTGCAACCCCGTTTTCACTAACGCGCTACTTTGACGGTCGTGAACAAGTCACGCGGACGACGAAACGTTTGTAGTTCGCGAGTACCGCGAATGCATTTTCGCGGTTCCGCATCGATAGCGAAATTGCGCTAACGCCGTTTATGTAAAGCGAGCATCCGCGTGAGAGACGATTCTCGCGTTACTCCCGCGGCTCTTTTCCTCTGTAAGATCGGATATACGATGACAATACCGATGACACCCGGGTCGATCGTGTTCGCAGCCGTCATTTTTGTAAAAAGCTTATAAAGAAATAAAAAGTTGCGAATGTTCTGTTATCGAAGGGGAGACCGAAGTTGCGGAGCGCGCATCGGCGCGCATATTTCATCTTCGGAAATATCCATATTTTATTGGGAACGACCGTAAGTTATTCGAAAGTTCGTCCAACAAGTTTTATCCGTCGAAAATAAATTGCAAAAGACAAATTTGCCTTCTTAGCTCTCTCTCTCTCTCTCTTTCTCTCTCTCTCTCTATCTCTATCTCTTTGTTTCTCTCTCGAGCAAACCCCAATGCGTGAAAATGATATTCCCAACAATTATAAAAGTTGCAAAAGAAATAAAGATCCGCCCAAAGAGAAGAATCACGTCGCGCAACAACAAACTTCGAAACTGAGAAAGCGATCTATATATACTCTTCCTCTTGCGTTCTTGGCTTTCTACATAAATACAGGTGCGGGACACGGAGGAAGAGACTAAAACTTCATTTCCGCAATCAATTAAAAGCGTGGGCGAGACGCTCTCGAGATAATATCACTTTCTTCTGCGGTCCCTTTCCGGAATACGGACTCTGATTCTCTCTTTCTTGGAACGGAAAGAGAAAGAGAGATCTACTGCTCGAATTATCGGTTACGGAACTCTCGTTCTTTTTCTTTCCCATTTTCTCCGGACAGGATTATCGAGAGGTGCACAAGAGAGAGAACCTTTCGAAACAACTACGGTTCTCTCTCTCTCTCTCTTTCTTTCTCTTTCTCTTCGTCTACCGCTTCTTAATTTACTTCATCGGCTTCCGGCAGTGGAACGATCTCCCGAACCGGCTATCAGTCCTCTGAATCAAATAACATAATTTTGCTAAGTCTACCACCGCACCGCGGCAAGAGAGACCCGATCTCTTTTCTTCGGGTCTGGTAAAATCCCACGAGCGAATTTACGAGAGAGTCCGTGGTCGCGACGTTTCGCCGCGAATCTAACACGCGTTAGATTCGTGTATGTGTGTGTGAGAAACCTAGTTACATCCGCGCGTTTGCACGTGGGT